CTTGAAAACGTTGTTACAATGAAAAAGGACAAATTAGAAGACATTTTCTGTGATCAAAGGAGGAAGAGAAAGCGAGTAGGGGTATTCAAAAAGCTTGACTTATTCACACAACTCCTTTGGAGCCCAGGGGCAACAAGCGTGTCTTACATTGAAAAGGCGGCTCTATTCAGAGTGCAGGTGCGAAGTGGTGTGGCACATTCTGCCACATTATGTAAAGGTTGTTGGAGATTAGTGTTCAGACTTAATAACTAAAGCGCTTGATTTACATTGGAAAAAAGCCCCCTCATCCGTGAAAGCAAAATAATTTAACGCGTGATCATTTCGAGTGCTGCTGATATCCTAATACTTGCATTGTTCTCGGCCAAGTACTAGAGGAGCGCGGATTGATGCTTTTGGGAACCTATCATTTACAGCCACTGAACTCTGCTCAGAACTGGAGGTCTGGAGGGGAGATAAAAGAGGGGCACAAGAGAAAAGTTTCGCATTAGGGAAAAAAAAAGGGGGGGGGAGGAGAAAAGAAAAAATAGAGAGAGAACAATATAAACGTGACAGTTCTCCTCCTCCCCGCAGAGGACTCCATGCCTCCTGTCCAGTGCCAGGGCGAAGCAGCGTCCAGGTCTACGGAGACGAAAATTGGGCTCAGGTCTCAGGCTCTTCCCTACTCCGCCTTCCCCCGTCGGAGCAGAATTACTTACCTTACTAATTATTCATATTTATGTAAATGTCATTAGTTAATGTAACTTTCTATAAAAAGATAATCAGGCGAGATCGGAGCATAGGTATTACCTTAAGTGCATTGGCTCTGGTTGTTTCATTCATATGTTAATACACGTGATGCAGTCGTGCCAGGCGTAGGGAGGGTGGAGAGGAGGGGAGAGGAGGAAGGCAAGGGAAAGAAATTAAATAATAATAACAAAGCCCCACAAAGGCTTTAAGTTTGCATCGCGGGACCAGGGAACACGATGCCTTCTGATGCGCTGAACAAAGGGGAACCCCGCGCCGTCCCAGCCGCGGCGGCTGTCCGGGCATCCCGGCAACTTTGGGTGGTTTTTTTGTTTGTTTGTGTCCCCTCCTCTCCTGAAGGAGAATTCTATGCTTCAAACCGTTTCGATCTACCCAAATCCTCGTGCCAATCCGAGTGCCTCAATTCCCGCACGACCCGAATTAAAGTATCTTTGTACGGGATACGCACCAATTAAAATTGCAATACCTTTTTGCATCTCCCTCTTTAGTGTAAGCATTTTAGGGCCATTTCCATAAATTCTCTGCGAGAATAAAGGCTATAATGGGAACAAGGTGAGAAAGCTGTTAACCATTGTTTCAGCAAGAAAAGGTCGTAAGTCAGGCAATTGGTGTCTGACCTGTCAGGATAAGGTATAAAGGCTTTATTCATGCAGTCGCTCACGATTTTCTCAGCTCTCACAAAAGTGTTTTTATGATTCTGTTTTCTTACCTCGTTCCTTAATTAAAAAGCTGAATGATTAGAATAGCACCTGCATAATGTCTGAACGACGCCTGCATACTAATTCGCGAGTCTTTACATCTAGTAATTATAACATAAAATCAGAGATTGAATAAAACAGAAGGATTTTGCCCCTAAAGCCCTGCTAATCCTCTTTTAAAAGAGTCTGCTGAAATAATTCAGAACAGTTTCCGGAAGTTGGATTACCGACTCTTTTTTGACTATTTACAATGAAATGATATTTCACACTTAAAGGACTCTCTGTATTTCTACAACAGGTTTTTTAAGGTGGCCTGTTTTCTAGACAATAACAATCCAGTGATTCCTTTCTTTTCCTACCCGTTTTTTCCCCCTCTTCCTCCCAGCTAGATCTTCATCTTTATCAAGTATATGCGGGCATTAATCTGTCCTCAGGTAGGGATAACAAAACCTCCCCCCTAGAAATCTCCCTTTGACTCCCCACTCCGGGACTCCCCGTGACGAGGGCAGAGGGAGGGCAGCCCGCCTGTGCCCAAGTTCAGGCGCACCCTGATTCCCGGCCGCCCGCGGCAGCGGGGGATGAAGCAGGGAGCTCGCATTGCTTCACCGATGCCCCCACCCAGGGCAGAGGATAATTTAAGCCAGCAGACACTAGTCAAAAGTTGAAGACTCATTTTTTTTGTGTGTCTTCCCGAAACAGCTGGGGGGATGAGGGGGAGCGGTGGTGCCCGCGCTTTTGTCTGATGTTCAGGGCGTGCTGTAGCAGGTACCCCCAGGGCCAGCAGCGAGGCAGGGGAGGCAGGAGGGAGCTGCGGGCAGCGCTGTCCTGGGGGCCGCCCCAGCCCTGCAGGGCTCAGCCCGGCTCCCGCTGCCGGGGGCTCAGCCCGGACCCCCGGGGTGGCTACCCCAGCCCAGGCAACCCGCAATGACCCGGAGAAGGGTTTTGCGGCGGTAGAGAGCCGATCCTCTGGGTAACATTGACTAGGGGGTAAGAAAAAATCTGCCCATCTGTTAGAGCGTCCTATTTATTTTAGGAAAAAGGTTTCCTTGTAGACCGGGGAGCTCCAGCCCGGCCATGAGGTTGGCTGCCTCATGACGAAGAAAACGAAGTTGGTGCATGGATTTTAAACTCGGGAGCTGCTGCCCGCACCCTCTGCAGCTCCGCGGGGTCTCGGCGCCTGAACCAAAGGAGCCAGAGTGATCCTGGCGTCGGAGCGGGGTGGATCCATATGGAGAAGAAGTTGAGACTGAAGTCAGCCTCACGGGAAGTTGCAGAGGTTTCTCTGAGATGTTACCATCATTAAGAGCACCTTATTCTGTTGTGCCATTTCTTTTTAACTGTTAAAGAGTTGCTTTTGCGGTGACTTTTGTCCTTCCCCCTCCTTCTCCTCCCATAGTGTAAACCTGCATAAAACTAAATCATCTATCAGAAAATGGAGTCAACGTGACATTCAGCATAAAAATTCTAGGGGATTCAACTAAAAGCTTCAATTGCTGTCCTGGCCCCATTATAACCAAGGGGACGACATACTCTGTTGGAAACTCAGAAATGTTACACATCGCTTTAGCGGGCGCTGCCCTTGTTTGTTTATTGTAGCTTACTTTCATTTATATCCCAGGAATATTATTTCACCAGGCGACACACGAAAAGACAAAGGGTGTAAATAAACTAACATATGGCCCAGAGGTTTTAGAGGAGCTGGAGCCGCTTAGTAAGTCATGTGGGTGATACTGGGAATCCGTCTTCTGTCCTTCCCCCGCTCCCTCATAACCTCCTTCTCCCTGCGTTTTCCTTCTACCTTCTCACGATAAGTCACGTTTGTGTCACGACCGGCTTTGGGGCACCAGATGTTTTTTCCTTTGGGCTGCAAAAATCTGGGCAGCGCAGGATGGGGAGGGATGGACGCAGGTCCTCCGCCTGTGCCTCTACACGCAGCCGGATAAAACTCGTTGACATAACAAAGGTGTGAGGGGATGTGTGTGCACACGCACACAGCCCCGGACACGGTCGGGCCCGGCTGGGGCGCCGGACAGAGCCGGGCCGTGCCGGGCTGCGCGGCCCCTTGGAGCGGACGGCTGGCGAGGCGCCGAGCGGGGTCGAGCGATCTGGCGCCCACGGAGACACTTGACAACCTTTTTCTGTTGTTGTTGTTGTTTCCAATTGTAATCGGTTTCAGGATTTCTCTCCCAAAAAGCATAACCGGAGCTGAGCCCTGCTCGGTCCGGGTGGTGCAGGGTGTTTAACCGCACGCTGCACCTCCTTCCCCTCCGCTTCTCTCGGTAAGGTGGCGGAAACGGGTCTCGGTTACTGATTCATATTTCTAATCTTCCTTTCCTGAACATACAATGTGCTATTGTTAAATGAATGGTCTTTAATTAATGCACTTGCACAATGCAGGGCCTTGCATGGGGATCGATGATAGGAAGCAACAGGGGATGGTTCCCTCCAAAATGGTTTGTCAGCATTGAGAAAGAAAAGGCAATGTCTATAAAAGGGCCACTAATAATGCCCACACGTCTCTCACCATGTTGTCTGAGGGGACATTCCTTCCCTTGTTGACAGTCAAGTGTAATAAGTACATGTCTTCGCTCAATCATTATAGACCATAGAATTGTATTCTTTAATTAGCATGTACTGTTAGCCCTCCTTTCCTTTATGGGCCAGTTTTTGTCCTTTACAGACCAGCAAAAATGTTTTCCTTCATTTCTTTTTCTCGAATTCTATTTCTTAAATTATTTTCTTTCTTTCTCTCTCCCCCTTCATGTAGTCAAATGTATTCTCTATTGACAATATTCCTGGCAGCTAAAACCAACTTTTTGTCATCTCTGTGTGTTAGGCAACTTCTTTCAAGTTTTCCTTTTCTAAAAGCAATCAGGGCAGCGCATGCGCGACGCGCCGGCCGGTTAGGGCCGCGGTGTGCCCGAAGCTGCTGCAAACAGCAAAGTCCCTGCAAACAGCAAAGTCCCTGCAAACAGCAAAGCTGGGATTTGTCCTGCCAAGGGAGGTCCGAGCAGGGCCGGGAGCTGCGGAACCCCGGAACGCGTTAACATCCATCAGGGGAATGCGCAAGGCAAAGAAGGATTACTTTCAGATAACTGTAGCTGGCTAAAGAATTCCCTTCACTTAAAAAAGAAATAAAATGCCCTAAATTAGCCTAGGAACCTAATAAAAAGGTTTTATTTCGCTGTGACTGGGACCCATTCTGGAGGGTGTGTATGGAAATTGTTCAAAAGAGCAGTTGCATCCTGCGAAACAACAAGCCTTCGGACGGAGGGGAGCAGCAGCCTCTCGGGGTGGCCCCTGCTGAAAACTCACGCCAATCCCCCGAGTGCTGGTGCCCAACATCGCAGTGTTAGTGTCCCCAGTGTAGCACTGAGGAGCCAGAGTGCCACTGCGGGGGTAACCGGGACACGCACCCACCCCCAGAGGGACAGGGCTGCCCCTGGGTGACACCGGCTCTGTTCCCGCACCCTGCACCTTGGCCAGTGCTTAAAGTACGGCTGGTTTGAAAGCTGCGATCTGAAAAATGCTGTCGCAGAAATGAAGCCAAAGCAGGGGTTTGTTTTGTTCTGTTCTTTTAATGTAAATGCCAACCTAAAACGATTAACATTAAAAAAGGTTAAAGACCAACAAAAAACCACTCATTAATACTTGACTGTACACCACATTAATAGTACACAGGTTTGGGCAATTTTTTTCAACTAATATAAAAATCAACAGAAAGAGAAGGTTGATTACACCGTGTTTTAGGAATGGCTCGGTATCATCAGTACAAACACATAATTTAAAAGTGCACATTTGTAAAATAACCATAGAAATGAAATGCATATAAATATTTATTGTAAAAAAAATCCAAGTATTAAAAATAAATAGTATGTTCAAGAACACAACAAAACATTCCTTCATTGCCAAACATGTGATAAAGAAAAATAATGTATATAAGAAGTCTGGAAAAAGATACAGTATACCAACATTGTAAATGTTTTTCTGCAAGCTACATTTTTCAGAGACTTCTTCTCTGTACAGTTCACAAAGAATGTGCTAGATTTTCTCATAAATATGACAAGACAAAAAAATAATAACAAGAATAATAGTAATACCCACTCCACTCTAATTTGACTCTGTCTTTACTCAGAAAAGGTCCCATTAAATGAATGGTTTGGCTTAGAATGGCAGGATTGGGCTCAGATAATTCTTTAACAACTAAAACAGAAGTACACTGATGAGTTACAGCTTCAAGGAATTCATATTCCGAACAGGGCACTGCATGATATCAAATGAGAAACTACTAAATAAAACTTGATCAGGGAATCATTTCAGTACAACACCATGATGTTTATAAAATGAAGATACAAAAGGGATGCAGTTTGACTATCCTTACACGTACAGACAATAAAACATGAGAGCATATGGAAGCCATCACTTTGAATGCGTTAACAACTTCGATACATTGCAGTATATACATGCGTGATAGGTATTCGGACTGTTAAATGATCAAAGAATTTACTCTATGTCTACACTCTTGCTCTCACTCTACTGGAGAGAAAACTTTTGTTGGTCACAAAGTGGTGTTAATGAAACCCAACGTTTCTGCCTTCGCCCAAGAATCGCATTCCATGCAGAATGTGTGTAGGAATAATTTATTAGACGGAAAAGTTTGGAGAATGAAATGCAAAAACAATGGACATAATTTCAACTTTCGAACTGCAAGGTCATACAGACATCCATGGACATCTGTACACAGTCAGAGTTTCACGCAGACACGGCCACATATATCCAGATGTATGTCTATACACAGGATTCGATAGTTTGGTATTTTCTGCACCCTCTGGGCCCCTAAAGTTATCTTTAAAAGTTTGATTTTATCTCTTTAGAAACGGTTTAAAGCTAACGGGCAGGGTGAGTTTGACAGAGAGGAGAACAAATCGCTGACAAAGAACCTTTTACGTTTCATCAGCGTTGTTAGGACGACGAGCAGGAATTTCTCAGATAATAACTCCCACTTCAAAGATTTCTCAGCTCAATAGAAATTGGACCATCCTTTTTATTCAACCACAAGGGCTGGCACTAAAGACGACTCAACTGTTTGAATTTTTTTTCCCCGTGTTTATTTTTCCCCTATTCACTAGGGTACTTGGATAAAATAAACAACAAGACAATTACTGGAACATGGACTTCTAACTTTCCCGGGCCCATGGCCCAGCGCCCATGGCCCCGGCCATGCGGGTGTCAAGTTCCCCGCACCACGGAGCCTCCTCTCGCAGGGACAGCGGGACCGGGCCGGGTGAGAAGGGGGTACGGCCGTCTCCCCTCGGAGCTCACCCCGCTTCCCAGCTCCTGGGGCTCTTCCATCGGAAACCTACTCGCTGAGACAGAGGCAGCCCGAGGAGGGGGATCTGCCAGTCTCCATCCTATCTTCCTCTGCCACGTTTGATAGAGATGAAGGGAAGCAATCCTCAGGCTTTGTGGCCAGTTTTTCTGCTAGAAGCTGGTCAGAAAGGCTGGGGAAGCGGGCGGGAGCTCCCGCCGGGCTTGGGGGGCTGGCAGTCCCTTACTTTGGGGACAAGGAGACCGGGGCTACAGCGTCGGAACGGAGCTGGCCTCGGGGGGAGGGCGAAGCCCAGCAAAACCCAGCTCCGCCGAAGTGCATTAGGTGGAGGAAGTCTATCTCTAGCGGGGAGCAGATTGAGTGTATTAAGCTAGCATGAAACCAAAGGTCAGTGCAAATGTATCTTAATAGACTGTCTCAAATGGAGTGTGCCTCCTTTGAAGGCCGCTTGCTATTGCTCTCCTCATTACCATAGCGATCCTAACGTGGCATGCTGATGCACCATAAAACTCACACTTTCAACCCCAAAATCAGGCCCTTTGAACAACCCGAGCTTGATTAGACCTTTCTCCTTTTCTTTCCCCCCTTAAAAACCATTTCCTTGCCTTTAGAAACTCGCCCTCAAATCCCAAATGCATTCTCTGATCCTGGCAGAAAGCAGAAACAAAAGTGAGCTGAGGCGACGGTTCAAGCGGGCCTTTTCTTCCTGACAGTCTTATCCATTTTTATTATGGTCTGGAACAAGTGCCCTGTTCGCGTGGGTTTTGTTTACCGGAAATTAAATGAAAATGATTTAGTTCGCGTCAAACAAAAATATATACTTGTATACACAAGAAAAAGGGCCTGTTAGACGTAAATATTATGTCCTTAATGAAAAGACTGGACGGGCTCCAGACTTCGCCTTTCACTATTTAAGTATGACTTGCCTATTGCCATAGAAATCCTAACTTACCATGAAGATTCACCGTTGTGAAGAAATACTTCTTTGTGCGAGCTTGCTTTGATGTCTAAGGCATAAGATTCAGGCTTTCAGCTGCTTCTGTCTAGATTACCTTGAGAGCAACGGGGTAGACATCTGTAACAAGCAAATGAAAAATTAAAGGTGATTAGCCTGCACATCCAAATACTTCTGTAAATAGAGAAATAAAGAAATAAACAGATCTCGGGACATGATGGAAACATCCTCCCTACCCGCATTTGGCTTCTGCACTTCTCGATTTCCATGGCACAAGTTTCGGGGGCTGGAGAGGGGCACAACTCTCCCCTTTTTAGATTCCTCTTTCACACATTGCTCTCACCTAGCTGATTCCCTAAGTGTATTCCCGTTAGCGACATGTTGTTGTCACTATCCGTGGTGTTTAAACACAAAAGTTGTTGAGTTTGGGCGAATGAAGAAAGCAACGCCGACTTGGTGCCTTGGGGGAAAAATACGGGTGTATAAGTAAGGAAAGCCCTGGGCATTGGGGTGTTTTTAGTCACTGAGCAGCTATTTATTTTCCTGTCGTTTTTATATTTCTCGGTATCAACATGCACGTGTGTGTGTGTGTGTACAGTTGTACACTCGCAGTAACCCGCAGGGGTGCGGAGGTGATCTGTCAGACACCAGAGGATGAGGTTACAGCAGCCTTCTGTCTGCTCTCCGCAAGCCACAGAAACCCTTTCCAGCAGCCTATGCTATTTATTTGCCCATACTATCTGGTATTCTTAAACATAATTAAAGTAATTAAAACGGCACCATTCGGTAGTTTCAAGCTACCCCAGTGGAGAGCTTTGTTTATTTATTTTGGGGGTTGTTTATTTTGTTACCCCCCCTCCCTTCTTTCCCTGAACCGGTGCAGTGAACCCTGTAGATTTGAGGCTCTGGGGCAGCATGGAGATGCTGAAGGCGCGGTGTGGGAGCGGCTCATGTCTCCTCGGGGCT